GGTTGCTGTTGTTTATTTCTTAGCAATCATACTTCATAAAAAAGTGAGAAGGCCATATTGTCTCAAGTGTTAGATCTCAAGACTAGACTGCCAGGTATCTGTGCCTGAGATTAATAAAATAAAGCATTGTGTTTTCTCCTTGAGCGTGTCAATATGTCTCTCTTTCTATGTCTAGTGCATACACAGAGATGTAAAACCGGAGAACATTCTCATAACGAAGCATTTTGTCATTAAGCTCTGTGATTTTGGATTTGCTCGCATCTTAAGTAAGTTTATTATATGAAATTCAGTCCTTTTTCACTAGGGCAGAAGGCAGAGATCCTGCAACAAATACATGAATGTATGATTTTTTTCCCCTGTTTAATCCTGTTACTAATGTTCTTCTTAATGGATGAAAGGATGAAAACAGCAAAGTTGCTTTTTAAATTTTGTTAAGCAGTTAATTAATTGAAAGTATTTATCTTTGTATTTATCCTTTATCCTACTTTGGTACTCATTTTAGAAAGAGTAAAAATGTAAGAGGACTGGAAAACATGACTTATTGAAATCTATAGAAACACCAAAACATACAGATATACAAAATCAAATGCAGCTTTGATCTCTATGTTAGAGACAGTACAGATGTTTGTTCCTAGTTCTACAGAAGTCACTTACATAAATTATATCTTTGCAGCTAAGTGCATGTTTTTGGGAAGTGCACGAACCACAAAGCAATCCAACTGAATTATAGCAATAGTCATGCAAAGACAAAATAAGATAATCAAAACGAGAGGTGTTACTTTTACTTTTTCTAAAAATGAGTACCAAAGTTTGTAAACAAGAGCAGGTTTGCTTCTTTTAGAGCAACTGAGAATGAACCTTACCATATATTGTTTGTAATTCATTTATTATTTGTAAATATCCTTTTATTTCCTTTACCCTTGAAAGGAAGATCTAGACCAGGGGTAGTCAACCTTGGCTCTTTTATGACTCGTGGACTTCAATTCCCAGAATTCCTGAGCCAGCTTAGCTGGCTCAGGAATTCTGGGAGTTGAAGTCCACGAGTCATAAAAGAGCCAAGGTTGACTACCCCTGATCTAGACTGAGAGAGTGTTTTTAGTCCACTAATTGGTGCTTTTGTTTCTACAATCCTTTCAACTCCTTTTAGCTGGGCCCTGTGACTACTATACAGATTATGTGGCTACCAGGTGGTATCGTTCTCCTGAGCTCCTTGTAGGTGATACTCAGTATGGCCCTCCTGTGGATGTCTGGGCTATAGGCTGTGTCTTTGCTGAACTGCTTTCTGGCATCCCTCTCTGGCCTGGAAAGTCTGATGTGGATCAACTTTACTTAATCAGGAGAACATTAGGTAAGTGAAGGTTACTGAGGAACAGAGATACATCTAAGTTGGCTATTGTTTCTTCCCTCCTCCTCACCCCCCCCCCCACCTCTCGGTTGTCCATGTGAAGTTTGACTGTTTCCTGTGTAAACACCCTAGAGGAGCATGACGTGTTGCATTGAGTCATGAGACTATTTTAATTGAAGTCAGTTTTTGTATATGTTCATCAACTTTCTTCAGCATGGTACTTGGGAGAGGGGGAAGAGAGACTATTTAAGGTATCCTTATTCCCCCCCCCAGTCAAGGGTTGTTTACATTTAAGTAACCTTTACCAACCTGAGGCCTTTACAGGAAAGGAAAGAAAAGCCAAAATCCAGCCCATTTTAAAGTGAAAGAGGCGGGGGTGGGGAAGGGGGGGGAATCAGCAAAATTGAAGAAAAGACTTTTTTTTTGCCAGTCCTATACACGAGTGTTTGGCTGGTTACCTAGGCGCCCATGTTTCTGAGTCAAGCCATTCTTCTTTCCCATCTTCTGCTTTTATTGCAAACCCCACACAGGATGAGGCCTTGGTGATGCAAATGTTTAAACTGACCGCACTGTTTGATTCTTGTTCAAAGGTGATCTCATTCCCAGGCATCAGCAAGTCTTCAGCACAAACCAGTTCTTCAGTGGGGTGAGGATACCCGATCCAGAAAGCATGGTGAGAGTTGCCCTCCCTCAGTGGTCTTACACAAGCATAGCACAGTATCACCACTGGAGCTGACTTATTAGGGTGGCAAAAATGTGGATGACCAACAGATGCCAGCAGAGAGAGAGAAAAAACTGTAGCTGGCAGCCCAGATACAATAGCCTGAGAAAATAGAGCTAGCTTGCAAGTGTTTTCTTCTCTTTTCAGTGCAAGAAGCAGTGTTTTTGAAGGACCAGGAAATATTGTTTTTACAGATTAGCTATTTAGGGACCCAGGACATTGCTTGGTTACCAATTGTTGCCTAAAAAGAATGGTTCTCTTGGATTGATTCTAGAGAGACATGTAACTAGGTGCAGTCTGGAGATCAACACCCAAATTGGTTTCTAGGAGAGGGGAAGGATTGCAATTGGAAACAGAAAAGAAAGCTGCAGACTGCAGGACTTACGATAAAAAGCTGCAAAGCAGAAGAGCCAATTTATCTCTTTAATTCTCTCATCTGTCCTGGGAACACATTCTCTTAAAAGAAAAATGCATTTTGTTTGGTTTGGTTTTTCTTTGTTGTTATAGGAATACAGTGGGGTGGGGGGATCCTCAATAACTCTGAAGAAGATTCTGCTAATATTTATTTTTCCTTTTTTAACCAGGAGCCTCTAGAAACGAAATTCCCCACTATTTCTTATGTTGCTCTGGCATTTATGAAGGTGAGGAAAATATCTTGATCTTTGTAGTCATTTATTGAGGCTCATAAATACAGCATCATCTCGTATGAGTGACCTTCAAATTTACTACAATTATTCCTTACGTAGCAATCTTCAAATTTACTGCAAATTATCCCCCAAAATTCCTGTTAGATGGTTAATAAGGAAGATGGTGGGGGGAAAAACTGCAAGGATCAAAAGCAAGGTTTCAAATGGAATATTTAAATGTGATGCACTTTTTGTCTCAGCAAAACACTGAAACGTTGTGTGACTTCAAACTGTTGTTGAAATGCAACTCATTCTTATTTGTGCTGAATGGGGTTTTGGCAGTTGTACTTCAGCAACAAGTACAATTAGACTTGGAGAAGCAAGACAAATCTAACCAAGCACACATTTCTGAAGCACCTAGAAAAAAGTTGGATGGTTGGCTGATGGTAGGAGGAGCAAGACGCAAAGAAATGAGTCTTTTCCATTTTCAAGCTTAATGTGTGTGACTTTGAAAATGGAAATCTCATATTGCCCTGAAAATATATATTTATTCTTAACATGGGTGAAAATGTGAAAGTATTTCTTGGAATGTGTTCCTCTTTGGAAATAAATAACTTGTTCGTTATTTATTGATAGCATTCTTTATAACATGGGTTCTGTTGATGCTTGTACCTGAAATGTAATCGTTTTACTCTCTGCAAAGAGAATTGCATTTCGTTTTCCTGAATGCTCTTTTGAATCCATAATTACATGTTAGTCAGTATGCATTTCGGTCTCCTGCTTGTGTTGTCTCAGGGTTGTCTCCATATGGATCCCACTGAAAGGTTGACCTGCGAACAGCTCCTTCAGCATCCTTATTTTGATAGCATTCGGGAGATAGAACTTGGGAGGGAACGAGAAAGATCCATTACACGGAAACCAAACCGGCCACCTCGAAGGCACTTGCCTGGGGTAAGACACACTAGGCAATGCAAACCACAGGAAGTGAGCCCCCTCCCCCTTTGTTTGTGACTGTTACCTCACCTGTTCTATTTATTCCAATGTTTAAGACAATTTACCATTAAAAAAATTAAAACCAAAATGAAAATCTGTGTTTAGAATAATTAGCATTGGTAAAAACTTTCAGAAGCCATCTGCTTTTACCATTTTACTATATACTAGAGGAGTAGGGAGCCTCAGGATTCTAGTGTTGAACTTTTCTGAGAAACTTGCATTGAAATAGGCTAAAATGAAGGGCATACTCCAGTGAATTATAATTTATACTTTATCTCTCATCTACAGTATCTGCCCCAATTAACCAGCAGCAACATTTTACCTGCTTTGGATAACAAGAAGTACTACTGTGGAACAAGAAAACTCAACTACCGTTTCCCAAACATCTAAAAAAAAAAAAAGCAAAAGCAAATGTCACAGCTAGTCCATTCTGTGTCTTCTTGTGTTCCTAACCATGAAGGAAACTTGGAAGACAACCACAGTATCTACACTAGCAGAAGCTAAAGCAAACCACAATGTTCTGGTTGAAAAGTGACAAACCTTGGAAAGGAAGTATCTACTGAATGCATGAGCGCGCGCGCGCACACACACACATACACACACAAAATGTGTCAACAAAAGGTTTGAAATAATTTATCAAAGTTCAGCAGGAAAACGCCATTTGGGCCTCTTGGAAAATTGTATTTCTAATTATCAAGCCTTTGTAATTTATACTTTGTGGGACAAGAATTCTTGCCTCTGCTGCAGCAGGAATTGGTGGAGGGGACCCATACATGCCAAATATATTTCATTCACAAAATCCCCTTGTGTCAAAGCAAGAGAGAACCCTTGGTCTTATACCAGATATGTAGCTAGTTTCCTTGGCAGGCTGAACCTGCAGGTTCTTTGTGCAAGGGGATGGAGGGGTGGCTTTGGAAGTTACAGACGGGAACCAGAAATGTCTGGATTCTAACTTTTTTCCTTTTTCGCTGTTTTCGCAACAAAGTAAATAAAATGTAAACAGGCTCTTTAATTAAACATTTTTGTTCCTTTAAATTTTAATCAATATTATTTTTACTAGAATAACTAGAAATAAAATAAAATTTTAATATGTATATTTTCTTCACAGGATTCATTTAATATATTAAATATGCTCTCCAACATATTTTAAAGGCCACTTTCTATCAAAACAAGAATTAGAGTAATGATGTGGCCTTTGATGTTCGGCATCAGAAATCTCAATATCATTAGTTATGTTGTATTTATTATTGTGGATTAGCATCCTCAAATTCCCGCATTATTTATAATAGGAAAGGAATTTTCCTCCAAAAGCTGATTCACAACACTTTTAATTATGACTATAGGGGCCAGCAATCTCTATATTTACCCCATAGTGTCAATTTTTCCAACAAAAACATAAAAGACCCTTAAGAACAGAGACTTATTTCTCATCTTTTCCATACATTCTGGGATTCTGTATAGTATTGGAGCTTAAGGAGCAGACTATGTGCCTTGCATGCTTCTGTCTGTAGCATTCTTCTCTTAAGTAGCCAAGGACTTCCACAATAACCATGGGCTGCTCACAGGATCAGTTCACAGATTTAATGATGCAAATGATGCGACATTGAATGGCAAGGATTTCATTCCAAGTCTAATTCCAACTCTAGTGCCGGCATTGATTTCTTAAGGGACTGAACTGTTCTTTCCCTCTCTCGTATCCCTGGCAGATCACTCAGGAACAAATATTCCAGGTTGCTGTTAGAAATTAAATAACAGAAGGAAGATTACTGTTAGCAAAATAGTTACTCAGAGACACAGAAAGCAAAAGGTACCCATTTAACAATACTCACTAGGGTCACCAATATTTTATTTTAAATAGAACTAATGCTATGCCACTCCCCTCCAAAATAAATGTACGAGTATTTATATAGTTAAGTGCATGTTCATGTTTTCAATATGTCCAGAAAAAAGACTGATACATGTAGTCCTCTACTTACGCCCACAACTGAATCCAACATTTCTATTGCTAAGCAAAACAGTTGTGAGTTTTGCCCCATTTTATATCTTTCTTGCCACAGTTGTTAATTGAATCACTGCAGCTGCTAAGTTGGTAACACGGTTGTTAACGTGAATCTGGCTTCCCCACTGACTTGGATTATCAGAAGATTGAAAAAGATAGATCACATGATCCTGGGACACTGCAACTGTCACAACTATGACTCAGTTGCCCATCATCCAAATTTTGACCACATGATCATGGGGATACTGCAGCAGTCGTTAAGTGTGAAAAACAGTTATAAGTCACTTTTTTCAGTGCTGTAACTTCAAACAGTCACTAAACAAATGGTTGTAAGTTGAGGACTACCTGTACATTAACTGAAGCAATTAATGTACTGTAAACTTTCCAGCATACACAAAGGCAAAACATCCAGAGATGGTGGCCCAATCAGAATTCTAGAAAGACACATGGATCTGTACATGTATTATACTATAGTCTCTAATTTCAACAGTACAGAACATCTGCAGCTCAGGGTTGAACTGTGGGGTTCTTCATTTCCTCTGAGCCGGGTTGCTTCCCTGCAAATGTACCCTTATCGGGCCAGGGATCATCCTCCGTGCGTGGATGAGTGAAGACTGCTGGCTGTTTATATATAAGAAGTTTCCTGGAGGTGGGGGTGCAGTCTCTTCTTTGATGATTCCTACTATAGGTTGTCCTCAACTTATAACTGTTTGTTTAATAATGGTTCAAAGTTATGACAGTCTTGGAAAAAAAGACTTGTGACCTGTACTTGCACTTATGACGATCACACACACACACACACCCCGTTGTCACATCATCACAATTCAGGCATTTGGAACCAGCTTGTGTTTACAACTGGTTGCAGTATCCTAAGGTCATGTCATTGCAAATAGTGCCGATTGGGGAAGCTGGGTTTGCTTAATAACTATGTGATTTAATTAATGACCATCTGATTCACTTAATGACTGCTATGAAAATTGTAGTAATATTAGGTCCAACTGATCTTACAACTACAATGGCTTAAGACAGAAATTCCAATTCTAATTATGGTTGTAAGTTGAAGACAGCTTGCAATGAAGTAAAATAACCAAGCTCAGAGAACACCAAGAACTTAACTATCTCTAATTTATCTAGGCTGCAGGAGGGCACACGGCCCATACAATCAACACAACTACTTTATAAAATATAGAGTTGTCTTCATTGTCTTACATACCTGAGCTTATGCAATGCAATGATGCCTGTGTCTGTAACGTTCCCGCAAGAGATGAGAAACAAACGCAGCAGGCTCTTCTGCAGGCTTGGAGTCTCGCTAATCCGTTGCAGGCAGGCATCCTCAATGTAGATGCACTTGCAAAATTTTATTTCTTCAAGATGTGTTAGACCATCTGAAATAGCATAAAGAAAGAGCTTATTACAAAAAGCTTATGAGAAGGGCTTCTGCTCCTATCCACATACAGACTGGATTCACATGATTATAAGTCACAATTTGGTTTGGTTAGTTTTAGTTCAGTTTGTTTCATGAACTTGGCTATTAATTTAAAAACTATAGTTTATGGCTTAATGTATTGCAAAACTATTCCATCATATGGAACATGCTAAGTCACTATTAGAACCTAGCAATAGCAATAGCAAAGCTTCATTAAGTACAGTAAGTAGAGCCTTTCCACTGATATTAGATAAAATCAAACCATTCTGATTTTGGTAAAGTGATCCAGAGAGGTCACATATAATTCATAAGATTATGATAATGAATTTGTGCCTTACATATTACTTGGGGTGCAACTGAATAGTTAAAGTTCTCTTCCCTTACAGTTTATTTTCGTAACTGTGGAGAAAATAGTTTAACTTCTTATAGTAATTTTTAAAAAGGTTTTTTTAGGAACTTCTGGTGAAAGTAATATTCCTCTTTACAGGAAGGACTATAACTCTGAGAAAAGGGCCAGGATCAACTTCTAATATCTGTAGGATGTTACAGGGCATCTGTCTACATACAATAGATTTAGAAGCTGTTGCCAGTCAGTGACTTAGCTGGACCAATGTTATGACAAAATCCACAACCAACCAGGATTTTGGCATAGTATAAGTTCAGTTTCCTGATTTGCACAGAACTCTAAATCATAATGGAGAGTATCATGTATCTTAAAATCCAAACAAAATCACATTCTGTTTTGTATTACTTGTAAGGCAAGTGTATTCCTAAACACAATCCTCCCTAACCTGGTTAAGAATCAATTGTGCTTTGCTTGTTCAATTATGAGAATTGAAACCTAACTCATTTGGAAGGCAACAGATCAGGGAAGGTTGCCTATTGTCTCACAATTACTCTTTTGGTAATCCTGTGAAAGATTGGCATGAAATAGGTAAAGGAAATTGCGTTATGGGAAGAGGGGGGATTGTCTTCCTGATTTCAATAGATATCATGAAGATAATAGTGGTGCAAATGAAATAACTGCTATGCACTATTATTGAAGTGAACTTCCCTTAGGCAGACTTCACCATGTACAAAAGCAATACACCAAATAGGCCAGCGGTTCTCAACCTATGGGTCACGACCCCATTTGGGGTCGATCGACCATTTCACGGGGGTCGCCAAGCAAGGCTGTCCGCCATTTTTTTCCCCTTTTCCGGCGGGTGCCTTACCTCCCTTGAGCTGGGCCAGCTGGTGGTCGGCCTGCTCCGTCTCTGCCGCTTGCCAGCTACGCCTCGGCCGGCGCAGGGGGCGGAACCACGCATGCGCGTCGCTCCCAGGCAGGGAGAGTCCTCGACTTACGACCGGTTTAGTCCTCGACTTACGACCGGTTTAGTCCTCGACTTACGACCGGTTTAGTCCTCGACTTACGACCGGTTGGGGGTCGCGGCATTTAAAAGGTTGAGAACCACTGAAATAGGCTGTAGTTTCTATGATGTCTTCTACACAATTCTTTATAAAGGCAAGCTTCTTGAATCAGAGCAACACAAAGGGATTGGGATAGCAGGCAAATAACAAACTTTTATCAAGCAATTCATCTGGGAATATTTACAGATTGAATTAGTTATGTTAGGCTCAGTAACATACCCAAATAATCAAATCCCCTGTTCATGATGCAAGATTCTGTGGCATTGATTGCTTGGATCTTATATTTCTCCAGCGGCCCCAGAGGGAGTGCATTGTAATCTTGTTGCCATTTGTCATAGCCGTGGTAGCGCACTGACGCACCACACCGAAGGAGCCACTCTGAAGCCGCTCTATCTGGACCAACAGCTTGGATTCGTTCCTGGTCAACCCTGGCAAGAAGGCATCACAATGAGTTCTTTCCACTACAGGCAGTATCTTCAAATCAACATAAACGGTGTAAAAAACCACAGATTAAACTAGTGTTTTAAAAATTGGCGGTTTTAAGATATGTGAACATGCTGGTTGAAGAATTCCAGCAGTTGAGGTCCATGCATCTAAAAATTGCAAAGTGTGAGAAATACTGGATTAAAGATTCATTAAATACAGATAGTCCTTGACTTATGACCATTGCACAACCCCCCCCCCCCACAGTCATATTGCAATTTGGGCTCTTGGCAGTCGGTTTGCATTAACAACTGGTCATAACATCCTACAATCATATATGAATGCAATTTTTTGAACTAACCAGCCAGTTTCTGACAAAAGACATCAATTGGAGAAGCTGAATTTGCTTAAGAACCACATGACTACCATAAAAATAGTTGTAGATGACTGATCATGACTTGCTTTATGTCTGCACCGACTAACAACAGAAATTCCTGTCCTAAGTATGGTTGTAAGTTGAGGACTACAGCATGCATCTGTACTTAATAGACAGGCTTGAAATAAAAGTCCTGGGGATATGTGACAATTACGGGGATCATGGCAGACAAGGAATTTGTTTTTTTCCTGATGTGATCCTGAAGAAACTATCTCCCCTGTATAAATAAAATATTACATCTGTTACAGCCTTTGTTCCTCAACGCTAGAGCATTCAGATGAAATCCAATGGGCCTGAATAAGACAAAGTAGATTTCTCCCAATTAATTCAATGCAAATTACGATTCTTCTTTAGGGTTTTAAACTAGTTTGACCAGATCACAGGAATATTTATTTACTTATGTATTGCACTAACATCCCACCATAATCATTTAAAAAAACTTAGCGCTCACAAGAGATAGCAAAAAACACATAATTAAAAAATACAAAAACATATATAACTTGAAACAGCATCTGCTGTCAATTCCCCTTCAATCTTCTGGAAATGCTCCATTTTCAGCAGTTTCTGGAAGGTCCCTAAAGTTGGGCCAATCAAGCTTCCCACAGGAGGCTGTTCCATAGGGCTGGCCCATACATAAATAACATCTCTGGGCTTTGGCCCTCCTGACCTCCCAACCAGCTGCTTTGCCTGGCATGATTTCAGAAATTAGCTGTATTAGTTTATCTAATGTTAGGGTCAGCCTTACATTTGTACACTTCTGTGGAAGACAGCTGCTTAAAAAATAAAATGTAGTGCATTCACTAAGTAAATCATTGTGTAGGTCAGAGTGGAAAATAGCCTGGGGGGAAGAAGGTTAAAGTTTTCCTATTAATAGACTCCTCCCCCAGCCCAAAGAAAGTTGAGAAAAATACTGCAGAATATACCGTATTATATGTAACTTATAAATCATTTCCACCAGTAAGTGTGGGATTCATTCACATAATAAGAAAGACATTTATTTTAGTTTTTGGCTTAATATGCTACATGAATCCAACCCTTGTGCTTTAAAAACCTTTGTTTCTGCATTAATGTGTTATGAGAACCAAGTTAATTGTAGCTAAATCCAATTATAAACAAACCATGATTCACATAACATATTATAAACTCAATCGTAATTAGCTATCTTGAGAACCCTTTGGTGAAAAGGTAATATATTAAATAAAAATAAAGAATAACAGAATAGCCACCACTTCGGCTGTGAACATTTTGGTTTAATCTTAAACTACAACCTCAGTCAAGGTCAAGATGAAGTTCCTGCATTTCAGGATAAGCAATGTGGGTCCTGTGGCTGCTAGTGTCTCTCAGAGGCTTCTCTTCTAGCCTAGGAGTCCCTGCCCCTCACTTGACTTGTTGAAAAACAAAGCACCAGCCTTTAACATTGAATGACTATTCTGGGCTCCATTAAGTTCTCAGAAAATCAAGGGAAATACCTAGTGGAGCTCCTATAGTAGTCATTCTGTGCACTCATCAAATGTATCCTAAACCAAAAAAGTTGCTTAATTTGCTGTAATCAAACAGGAATATTTATTTCTACACTACCTTTCTGTGAAAACACTCAAAAAGTGTTTTACAGTCATTAAAACTACCAAGAATATAATCAATGCAACTGAACATAAAAATTAAAAATGGCTTTCATCTTGGCCCTATGATCTCATGTTCTAACATTATTCAACTCAGTTCTCATTAAGGAAGCAAAACGTTTCATCCCCAGAGAGTTCATACATATTAAATATATTAAACACTGTTAAAAGATTGCAATCTCAAGTTTGGTACACATACAATCTGTGTATTCAGGGTTAAAAAGCCTCAGATTTCAAGTCAGAAATCAAAGACTAATCATACATTCACTCAACCAAAAAGTTCCTTGTACACAGAAAATTATGCTAGGATTCCTGTTCCCACTTTTTGGGAAGCATTGAATAACTTTCCTGCAGTCCCAAGGCGCAGGCACTCTTATCATTTGTTTTCCCTAATTTTGCAGCTTCAAATTTTAAAAAGTCAGGCTCCTTTGTAGCAGAGGTGTTGCATGAATTTCAAAGCACTTGTATTGAATCATAAAAAGTGCACATACCCCCAATTAATTTCAATATATGAGGCAAGATTGCCAAGTAGATATAAGCTTACAACTCTGCAACTTTCCCTAGCAAGTGCCTCCTACGGCAGCTGCCTTCTTTAATGGTCATGGCAACCTGGAGAATCTTTCCTACTATCATGAAAGAGCTAGGAAAATTCAAACCCCAGCTCACTCTTGGAGTGTGCAATTCTCAAGGCTGGTGAGAAGGCAATCATACATGCAACTAGTTTCAGCTGGCATTGTACAAGCAACTTATTGGCGTCCTTTATGGAAACAACTTCATTTTTCTTACTGATTGAATACTGCATTTAACCATCCCCAGAAATGCCTCCGCAGACCACCAGGCGGCTGTCTCTTCAACATTTTCGTTTGGCTTATCAGCACTTCCGTCAACATCATGTAACTTCTGAAAGAGACCGTACGGTAGTAATGACAACAACTCAGTGGATTTCCACAAATCAGTCACATTACTGTGGTCAGTAACTTCTGACCCGGGATGACGAGGCACATATAGATGGATTTGCACAAAAAAAGCGCATTATGGCTCAGTGCAGTCCATTAATCTATCCATTATCTCTGCACGATCTCGACTACAACATTGCGGCGAATTAGAGCAGTTCCCGCCATACGGCAAGCAAGGAAAGGGACGATGGCTGATGGCAAAAAGCTCAGACGTTTGGGGCTACTGTATTTGTAGCAGGCAAAAGTCCCTTCCACATCTCTCCTTCACCCCACAACTCAGACCTTCAGGCCCGCCCAGCAATTTAGCACGATGGAAGAGTCTCCCCAGCCCGGCTCCCGGGAGCCGTGCAAGGGCCGATGCCCCTGGCATTAGCTCTGCCTTGCCAAAGCGAGGAGGGCTCCTGCAAAGGGGATCGAGGGATGTTGCAAGCACACCCGCCAGCGGGATGAGATCGCAGGCGGCGAGAAGGCTGCCCCGACCTTCCCTCCTAGCGAGCCCGGCTGCCTCCCTCTCCGAAGGCCCGGAATGGCGGCCCCTTGTGGGAAAACGCACCCCGGGCGGCAGGTCCCAGGCGGGATGGCGCAGTGCCTCTGGCGTCCCCTCCGCCTCAGCGGGGTTCCTTCAGTCGTAGCAGGCCCTGTGCGGCCTCCGATCGCTTCCCCCCAGCCACCCACCCACACTCAGGGCCCGACCTGTAGCGGGAGGAGGGGGAGGAGCTGGGCAGACTGGCTCGCTTGCCCGCCCGCCCGGCAGAGCGCGCAATGATCCCGGCGTGGATTCGGGCCGTCGGCGGGGCCTGGCGCCCTTGTTGGGCCGGGGGTCGGGCGATGCCCTCGCGGCCTCTCAGCGCTGACAACTGCCGACGGAGGAGGTGAGGCGTCCGTCGCGAGCTCCGCAAAGGGCGGCTCGTGGCGTCGGTTCTGACCCGCGATCTGCGCCTCCCCCCCCCCCCGGCCCTCTTCTCCAGGGCAGCAGCCTGCAGCGCCGAGCGGGGGCTTTGCCGCGATAACTTTTATCAGCCGCTGCTAGGTAGACATTCAACAGGGGGAGTTTTCCTCTGCGGGGGAAGTCCTTAAAGGGAAAGAGAAACAGCGCAATTTAAACTAATGCCCCGAGTTTAAGTATTTCCCTGCTTGTTGGAATCTGAGATGAAACTACATCAGCTTTTATGCACCTCTTCGTTTCCATGCCAGGAACAACTACTGCACAGTAGAGTACTGCTAAATAGAAATTCAGAAATTGGCTGGGTTTACAGATTACACCTAAGCCACAATGAGCTTTGTCTGGTTGACATATGCAGCACGTGGGATGAATCCTGCTATTTTAAGCCATAGTTGTAGCTTTAGCTTGCGCAAATCAGTCAATTGTGACTTATGCAGCAGACCATGATTATTCAATATGTGGCTTAATATAATACGGGCAATCATTGCCAAATAACTGTAAGCTATTATAGTTCATAATAAAAGTTGTAATCTTGATTTTAAAAAAATCTGGGGTATGTGTCTTGCAAATAATCTTTCCAAGTTTTTTGACAGTACTTTTGATGTCGTTGTCATTGGTGGTGGAATTGTGGGTCTCGCATCGGCCAGGGAGCTTAGCCTGCGCCATCCATCCCTTGTTTTTGCAGTACTCGAAAAGGAAAAGGAATTAGGTATGATATCTGAACTTGATAAAACAGCTGACAGACTTCTGTATTATTTCCACTCATATGTTTAACTAATAGGAACAGTATTTCCAGGTATTAAATGTTATACCGGTAACCATTGTTTAGTCACAATCTTCACAGGTCTATAAAGCAAAGGAAAGCTGAAGTAAAACCATAAGTACAGTTACAGTTTCATTTAGTGGCCACTTATCTTAACAACTAAGTTGCTGGTTTCAACTGTGGTTATTGAATGTGAACTACTTCTACTTCAGGTAGATACAATCCATTAAAAAAAATTTTGATGGGCCAATTTTACATCTCATTTGTCAAGAGACAACATTAAAATTCCTAGTAATTTATGTTATAATTTCTTGTGGCCACTCAATGGAAAATGGATGAATTATTTCTAGGATATGGATTTTGTTGCCTACATAGATTTCTATAGTTTTCTGACAAATGGAAGCCCATCATATCTATATAGTTCCCTGTGTATATCATAGTTTTGTATAGGACGTTCATAGCTGTCTCAGAAAAAAAACCAGGAACAGACCATGAGAATAAATATCTATTTTCTATTTGCTTGATATTTTAGTTTGAGTTTCTTAAATCTTACTGCTTAACATAAAGGTTTATACTATTTTGCTATTATACATGCTGTGTGGCTATTTTATGCTTATTTCTATTTTACCTTGCTATCTTTTCCTGAACAATGAAATTATGTGAACTATTTATTTATTTACGCCAATAACTAACTCTATAATACTTTGACTAACAAAATATTGTACGTATTAGATCAATCAAACGATAGATGTAACTTTCTATTTAGCTCTCCATCAAAGCGGGCATAACAGTGGTGTTATTCACAGCGGAATCTACTATACACCTGGATCCCTAAAAGCCAAGTTGTGTGTAGAAGGAGCTGTTCTCTGCTATGAATACTGTGACCGAAAAGGAATCCCATATAAACAATGTGGCAAGGTAGGGTAAGTGCTGAAACTTTGCTGTTAATCTTATACAGTTCCAAATACAGTTGATTAAGTTACTTAATTTTCTTGGGGTGGGCTATACTAGAGTGTTCCAAATGGTTCTAAAGAGAAGCAGACGTAATCATTCTACAACTCTAATGCACTTGATTTATAATTATTGTTATTATTCAGACAGGAGAATTGGCCCAGGGATCATAACAATAGATACCCACCAATCTGGGATTGTCTGATTTTCTTCTCTACGCTGATTTTTTCATTACTGTTTTATAATCACTGAACCAACTTCCAATCATGATATAATCTGCAGTCTTAAGAGTTACACAGAATGAAATGTTACTGATAAGTCTTTTCCATCGTTATACAGAAACCAATATATATGCTTGTATATGTATATTTCTTATGAATATGATTGCACTAACTCCATTTCTTTTGTTCCATTGCTTTATTGTTATTTTATATTTGCAATTGCAATATATATGAGCACAATCAACATATCTATTTATCTATCTTAGAATAATTGTGTCCTTTGAAAAAACAAAATTATATGTCAGTAGATTTTGATGGTAGGGAAGGGTGAGCAATGTGACATCTCCCTAAAACTGCAGCTGTTTACAATTAGATCTAATGGGGAGTGATTCGGGTGCTGTTTAAATTGACAGAAAGAAGGCACGGGTAATTTTACTCATAGGAAGGCATTCAAGATTGTACCTTAAACTGATTGCCTGAATAGAGATATCTGCCCGCCAAATATTAGAGACGACTTCGCAATTAACAACAACAAAAAGGCTTTAAAATAAATTTCAACTATAACATATCAGGTTGTTTGCACTAGTTCATGTACTAGGCTATTGCTAAATTCTTCCAACTGTTCCCAAAATAAAGTCTAAATTGAATGCCTTTTTGTGTGTGTGTGTGTGTGTGTATGCCTTTGAGTCAATTTTTGACACTTGGCAAGTCCTTGCAGTTTTCTTGGCATTATTCTTTTTCATAAATGGTTTACCATTGCATTCTTCTCAGGGCTGAGGGAATGGTGGGCCCAAGGTGACCCAGCTGGCTTCGTGCCTAAGGCAGGACTAGAACTAGATTTTTTTCAACTTTGCCATGCAACCCGCAGATTCCTCAAATTTCATGGTGAGCTCTGATCCAAATACTAACCAAGCCTCACCTTGCTTAGCTTTGAAGCCTAGACAAGCTAGATGCTGCCACCTGCTGAGTCAACAACTTTATTTACTGGAGGCCTAATGGTGAACAAGATAAGATAAAACTATTCTGTTTTCTCTAAGTGTTGGGGGGGAAAAACACTTGCTATAGTGCCACTCTTTTTCCTTTTCTGACAAGAGAAAAATCAGCCTAATATTTATATCACCCAGAAGAGCAGGTATATAATACTTGTAGCCAATTCAGGTCTACTGACAATTACTTTAAAGACAAGAGACTCTGGCTTCTATGGTTCTCTGATTCAAAGAAATCAGAGTCAGTAGTTTTTTTATAAAGAAAGAACATCAGCAAGGAAAGATCAGCTAAAACTCTTGTGGCCCATTACTTTATTTGATCTGAATAACTAATTTCCCTCCATTTCTTTTTCTTGTAACTCTTTATCTTTGTATTGATTTGATAAACTTGACACAAGCCATGTCTTTTAATTCCTCTGAGCCATTTGGGGAGAAAGTGATTGTCTGAAAAGCAGGATAAAAAGAGCAAATGAGCATAGCAAATTTGTAACATCCCTACACTCCCTAATTTATTATAAAACAACTCCAACTATAAATGTTAATTTCTGAAAAACCTATAGTGCAGGTGGTCCTCAACTTATGACCATGATCGGGACCAGAATTTTCATTGCTAAGCCAGGCAGTTGTTCAGTGAGTCATGCCGGATTATATGACCTTTTTTGCCACAGTGGTTAAGAGAATCACTTCAATTAATCCAGCTTCCCCTATTGACTTTGCTTCTTGGAAGCCAACTGCAAAGGTTGCAAATGGTGATTGCAGATGCTGCAAATGTCAAAAATAGATGCCAGTTGCCAAGCAGCCTAATTTTGATCATGTGACCTTGGGGTTGCTGCAACAGTCATAAGTGCGAGGACTGGTTGTAACTCACTTTTTTCAGTGCCATTGTAACTTTGAACAGTCGCTAAGCGAATGTTGGTCGAAGTAAACCTGTACTCTTTCAGTTACAGCCTGTACTGCTGAAATGCCAACCGCTCCAGCTAAATAAAGTTATGAAGCACAATTAATTTATACTGCAATTTTAATTGAAGTCTAATTTAATCAAATATTAATTCTTTTTCACACTTCACACTGTGGTTATCTCATGTTGTTCCCCTGTAGTGTTTTTTGTTCCGCGGTTGCTCTAGTTTCTTATTTCTTTGGCAGCTGATTGTTGCAGTTGAACATGAAGAAATTCCAAGACTCAAGGCACTTTATGAAAGGGGGATACAGAATAATGTCCGGGGTCTGAAACTAATCTCTCCCAAAGAAATACAAGCCAAGGAACCCTACTGTCGGGTAAGATGCTTTCTTGCTGTGCAATATCTAATATTTTCTGTACAAATAACTTGTTAAATGTGGGGTGGTACCGGGCAAAGTGTTAGGTCAATACCTCCGTGCAGTTTAACAATAGTAGTACATTAAATTAAAGTTGATATTGAAAATTAAATACAGGATTTCCATACTCCACTTCATGAATTTTTGTGCAGGTATATGCTTTATTTGTGCATAATGCAACTTCCTCTCCTTTTCTGTTGAGTGTCTTTCATTTTTAAGGCCCTCCTCATTCTTCTTCCTTTGACTCCTGCATTGTGGACCCCAGTTCTTAGTAAGATGGTCCTGTTCTAAAGTTTTCTTGAACAATCCATTTTGGCAAATATTAGTCAAGTGCCACTTAGACGTGTTTTAAATTGCCCTTCTGTCATTCCTTACCAATAAGCAGCACTATCTGAGTAAGCATGTAGACCTAATAAGCATGTAGGCTGCCTTACTGAAAGTTGCATTGATTCAAATGGCCCCTTCTTTGTT